AAAAAAAAAAAAAAAAAAAAAAATCCTGGGGGAGGAAACCCAGTCTCAGAAAGACAAACACTGTATAAATTCAGTCATAAGTGGATATTAGATGTAAAGCAAAGGATAACCAGACTACAATCCATTGTTCCAGAGAAGCTAGGTAATGAGGAGGACCATAAGGGACACATGGATGGTCCTGGGGATAGAAATTAGATGAGATTTAAGGGATAAATTGGGGTGGGGGTAAGGACGTGGAATGGTTGAGTCAGGGAGGGATACAGTGGAAGAACAATGAAAAAGAGAGCCACGATGGGGTTAGGGCGAAACCTGGTGCTAGGGTAATTCCCAAGAATCCACAAGGAGGACCCCGCTAAGACTCCTAGCAATAGTGAAGAGAATGCCCAAACAGGCCTACCCCTGTAATCAGATTGGTGAATACCCCAACTATCATCATAGAGCCCACATCTAGTAATTGATGGAACCAGATGCTGAGATCCATGGAGTCCAGTCAGAGGAAGGAGGGAATATATGAGCAAGGGAGGTCAAAATCCTGATGGGGAAATCCACAAAGACAACTGAAACAAGCTCATGGAAACTCATGAATTCTAGACCTGAAGGGCCGAAACTCCAGATCAAAGTCTTACCCCTAGCCTCCAGGAGACTTAGTCCCTGGAGACTGTGTTGTATACAACAGGCCTAGGGCCAAAACTGGACACAAACTCCAGACTCTCTAGCCTCCAGGATACTTAGTTCCTAGAAACTGTTTGGCCACAAAGAAACCCCAGGAGAGACAAAAACCCTCCCCTATAGTTTCCAGGATACTTACCTTAGTTCCTGAAAACTCTTGGTATCTGTGCATAACAGGTCACCTGCAAATAACAGACAAAGCCATAGAAACCACAGAATGTTCCCTCCCAGCACCGACCAATGAGAATAATTGGTACAAGGGTATTCCATGCCAAAATAAGACTTTGAAAAATTCCCCTAAATGTCAATCAATCAGCAGAGGACCAGTCCCTCTCCCCTCCCGCTGATGTAACCCTGCAGTTTTTTTATCTTTTTTTTTTTTTTTTGAGACAGGGATTTTTTTGTGTAGCGTTGGAATTCACTTTATAGACCATGCTGGCCTTGAAATCACAGAGATTAAAGGCATGCACTATCACCACCCAGCAGCACTTTTTTGCACTTTTTTTTTTTTTTTTTTTTTTTTTTTGTCACAAAACATTTTTTTAA